TAACTATGGGGAGGAAGTGAGAGGGGAGCTGTTGCATTGTGGTAAACTGTGGTCAATGACATGAGACAAAGTATATGTGAACTGCTATATGGAAAGTGAATTTGCTCTGTAAATCTTCACTCAAATAAATAAGTAAATAAATTTTTAAAAAAATAAAATAAAATGAAATCCTTGACAAAAAAAACCTAATAGCTAACATGTACTTTGTCTATGCATTTGTCTACACATTATTCTATGTGTTTTATATGGATTAACTCATTTAATATTCCCAGTAACCTTAAGAGGTAGATACTCTTATCCTACTTTAAAAATGAGTAAAATGAACACAGAGAGATTACTTAATTTGCCAGAGGTCACACAGCTAGTATGTGGGTGAGCAAGGATTCAAGTCTAAGTAATCTGACTCAACAGCATGTCCTTAAAAATTGTTGTTGTTGTTTGTTGCCATCGAATTGATTCCAACTCATGGCGATCCCACTGTGGAGAGCAGAACTGCTCCATAGGGTTGTCAATGCTGTAACCTTTTGAAGTAGATTGCCAGTCCTGTCCAAAGAACCTCTAAGTTGGTTCCAACCATCCATCTTTCAGCCTATAGTCAAGCGTCTGTTTATACCAACCAAGAACTACTTTTAAACAAACACAATATAAGAATATAGTAAAGAATATCTAATAACATGGAAAAATGTTTGTAGAACATAAGTCAACAGAATAGAAAGGCTGCACAATAATATATTATTTATGATTTCTTTTAATACACACCTAGACATGCAAGGAGACAAGTCTAGTTAACATCAGTCATATCTAGGTAATAAAATTATAGGTTTTATTTTTCTTTTTGCTTTACTAATTCTTCCAAGTGTTCTACAATTAGGACAAATTTCTTTTTAATTAGAGAAGTAATTTTCTTAAAAAAAAAGTTGGGAGTTTTTCCCCTTCAATTGTTGTTCAGGTAATTACAAGTCAAAAGACCCATCTCTAGAGAATGTCTACAAACCAAGTTATGGCCTGAAATAAGATACATTTTTTTTTTTAAAACCACAAGCATTTTAGAAAAGAAAAGGAAAGTGTTCTTGCTTGCCCACTGCTAATGGAAGTCAGAAAAGGATTATACATTAAACAATTCCACACCAAACTGCTTATATCAAATCTCAGTGAAATTATTCCACACATAACAAAACTACACAAATGAAATATGTGCAAAAATGTCAAAAGCACCACTGGACATTTTATGCAACATGAAAAACAAAAGATAAAGGAAAAGTATACAAAAGGAAATGAGATTTCAAATAATTCTATTTTTTCCCCTTTATTAAGAACAGGGTCCTTTATATTTAAAGTCTCTACCCAAGCACTGAAAAGCAAGAAATGTTCCTACATACAGACTTAAAATGAAACAGGATCCCAACAGGAAAAATATTTTTAGGGGACATTTCAGCTAAAAAGAATGAAACTGGAGACTGAATAACTTAGGTAAAAAGATGTACATAGAATCTAGGGGTCCTTTTTAATAGTATTTCCTCAACTCCCTACTTTGAACCCCTGTAAAATGAATGGCTAAGTTTAGTAAAAGAGAAAGAGACAAACATTGCACAAGTTGCTAGAAATTCTAGTTATGCTGAAGAGATGGGAAGAACTCTACAGTTAAAGGTAAATCTTGCTGAGCCCTATTAAATAAGTGAGATTGAAAAGATTCCACAGCACACAAGAAGGGATATATGAAGGAATGGCTAGTTTCTAAAGCTTAACGACCAAGGCAAAGGCTAGAGTGCACTGAGAAGGAACTTTTCTGTCCATCCCCTCCCCTAACAATTTTCCAGTTCACCACTTTTGTAGGTTTGTTGTTGTTGTTGTTAGTTTTAGTTATTCTAATCTATTTAGCTAGTCACTTGAATAATTTCCTAGTATTTTGCTCATCATTTTTGATAATTATTCATCCAAACAACTCCCATTTGGAGTTTTAAAAAAATATATTAGCTTTCTCTCTTCATAGAAATAAATTAGTCATGTTTTCCACTGATTCCTTTATGCTCTCTTTGGTTCTCTTACCTCTAAAAACTGCCTACAACTAACTTCTCCATTAACTTCTCTCATCAATAAAATTATTTGTCTGGCTGGGTTGTCAAAGTTGCAGACCTAGTAGTGCAGAACTAGAAGAGGTACAAAGCAAGTGGTCAAAATTGTTATCTGTAATTGAGAGCTATGTTGTATGATCTTGCAAGATCTGTACATATAAATGTACTTGTAGAATAAAGTCCAAACTTAAACTTAAGACTTTGTGATTCAGTTCTTTGAATTGGTTAATGGATCAACAAATACTTACTACATTTAAGTTACACTTACATTTAATATAGGCCAAGCACCATATATGATAGTAATAGTTCACAAAACTAAACAAGATAAAAAGAATACCTGAACTCTCTGCAGAGGAGAGGATAAATAAGACGTTTAAAGGAATCATCCAGTGAATTGTGTAAGATCTTCATTAACTCTGGTCTTGCAAAACCACGTGGTCTCCACCTACAAAGAAAAAAAAAAAATCCACTTACTAAAACTGACAACACAATTCTAAGACCATGAAAGGGTTCCTGGAAGACAAGAAAGTTGAATAGAGTAGAAGAAAAAAACCTTTATTGAGGCCAAAGTAACATAATCTGTGAGGAGAGGCTGTGGTGTCTGGAAATTATTACTATGACATCTGGAATTTTTATTTTTAAAAACTTTGGTAACCATGGTCAGACATAAAACTTTGAGAGTAAAAAAATTTTCCCTCTGGGAAGAGACTCCAAAGCATTAATGACCAAAATCTTCAGATGTTAGAAAGTCATCAAGAAATTACTATAGCAATGTATCCTTCTTTTCCCATTTATCTCTTCCTGAGAGTTAAAATATTAACTAAGCAAAGGAAAACTGTTCTAACTCTGCCCTCCTGGCCATTCCTGAGTAGAACTTACAATTTTCCTCAGACTCTGCTGCTCCATCAGGCAGTATCTGAGGAATATAAATGCTAGAGGACTAACTGTCAGTAGACACTGGAGAAGAAGTGTAAGAGAAAAATCACAAACAAATTCAGCCCTACTTTTTCTGTGTTGTCATCTATCCACAGCATTTCTCTCCTTCCCTTTAATAGCTCCTCACTGGAAAGCATCAATGCACTATTCATGGTTTATAACAAATCATTAATACACCTTAGGGGACCTCTTACATCTCTTAATCGTCTAAGTCTAGGAAATGAATGCAATTATCAGTGAACAAACCTTAAGCGTCTAATATGTGATACAAAAAAAGTTGGATATCAACTATTTGAATCCCTTACACCAAAAACCAAGCCCACTGCCATCAAGTTGACATTGATTAACAGTGACTCTAAAACAGAGTAGAACTTCTCCATAGGGTTTCCAAGGCTGTAAACCTTTATGGAAACAGACTGCCTCATCTTTCTCCCACGAAGCAGCTGATGGGTTTGAGCCACCGACATTTTGGTTAGCAGCCCAATGCTTTAAACCACAGCTCCACCACAATGCAATTCCTTCCACAGAAGGATTTTACTTGGGCAGCATAGTTTTTCATGTGAATGAAAGTAGCTTTAGCAGGACATGCACCCTTCCTTCCATCTAAATCTCTGCCACTTCTTACTGTTACCTTCATTTATCTGGAATGGAGAGGGCTAGGGAGGAAAAGAATAGGAATTAGACACACAGGTCCTATTTTCAAAGACGTAAATATTTTAACAAATAAATACTATGACAAATGTAGTAACTGAAATAATTAAAAGATACACCAAAAACCAAAACTAAAGTCACTGCCGTCGAGTCAGATCCAACTCATAGTGACCCTTCCTTGGCTTTCCAAGGTGGTATCACATAAAAGTAGATTGCCCAATCTTCCTTCTGAGGAGTGGCTGGTGGGTTTGAACCACCAGCCTTCTGGTTAGCAGACAAATGCCTTAGGCACTATGTCACCAGAGCTCCTATTAAAAGATAGAGAATGCTCAAAAGCAGATGTGATAGCAGTATAATAAAACAATCATGGCAAGATTTGGACCAGAATGCTTCAGTTCAAATTCTACTCTATCAATTTCCTTCTGGATTTAGTTACCATGTCTATGCTATTCTTTCCTCATCTGTAAAATGGGGATAATCACCTCATTAAGTCCTTGTGAGTTAATATATATAAAATGCTTATAACCGTGCCTGGCAAAGTCTATGTAACTGTTTGATACTGCTGCTGTTACCATCATCATCATCAATTTGATAAGTCCAACGTCAAGAAAGATATCCCAGAATGAACAACTATAGTTTACCAAGGAAGACAAAAGGATAACAGCATTCAGGTAAGAAACCACAGCATGAGTAAAAGCTTAGAGGCAAGAAAGAGTATGGTATTCAAGTAACTGCAAGTGCATAAGTACTGGTAGGGCACAGAATAGCAAGGTCAAGTGGGAGGAAGACGAGGCTATAAAATATGGCAGTGCCCAGTTCATTAAGGATCTTACATACTATGCTGTGGAACTTGGCTAGATGAAAGAGAGAACACAGACCTAGGCCATGGGACAATATACTAGGAAGAAAGCCTTTAGAGACAGGAAGACCTTAATGGCATGTTTTGTTTTGTTTTGTTTTTTAAATGTATACATCTAATATCTTGTGGGGTCATTTCCTCCAAAGCTTCCCCACAGCTTGTAGGAAAAAGCTAGAAATCTTCCACATTACCTACCTATATCCCGTCAAAGTTTTAGGCTGAACAGTCTTTCTCAAATTTCAAGATCCTCCCTTGGCTTGGACTGCTCTGCTCCCTTCTTCCCACTCCCAACCCCAGGAACAGATGCTTGGGAGCTGATTTTACACTTTAAGAAGTCTCAATTATACCCATTCAGACATGACCCTCAAACCGTCAGACCCAGGCCTGAAAGATAACAAGTATACCCATTTCCTACATTGAAGAAATTACTTTTGGTTCCCTGTCCCACACCAAGTTCTGCCCTTTACTGGGCACAGTGCTTAGCACACTAAGGAACCTGAATTAGTAAAGTGAATTCATGTGGTGGTGGTGGTGGTGGTGGTGGTATGCTCGTTGAGCTGATTCTGACTTACACTGAATTTTAGGACACAGGAGAACTATTCTATAGGGCTTTTCCTAGGCTGTAATCTTTATGGAAGCAGATCACCAGGTCTTTTTTCCCATGAAACTACTGGGTGGTTTGGAATCACGGCCTTTTGTTAAGAGTCAGCCTTAACCATTGTCACACCAGGGCTCCCCATAGTGAGCTCACAGCCCTTACATAACCCTTACTATATCTCTAAACTTAAAGTATATACAATGAGTTTGCCTTATAGGAATTATCACCTTAAAATTTGATTCTTCTAATTCAATAGTCAAATACCACTGAATAAAGCTAAGAAAGACTTCACTTAAACAGAATCCACAATACAAAACACACACTATAATATGTGCACAATGGAGCATACAAAATAAGCTAAGGGCCAAAGACTCAAACTAGCTATTAGGACCAGGAAACCATTGTAAACAATTTAAGGATATCCAGGTCTTAATCTGTATGTTTTTAAGAGAGACGTGCTTTGTCCAACTATTACACCCAAAGATATATTCTCTACTTTAGCAAACAAATATGTTCCTCCCATTTCTTATATTTAAGATAAAGACACATTCTCACCATCTAGCTTTCATTCTACCACATTTATAAGAAAAATGGGTACAGAAAACAGCTCCTCTTTAATCCACTATATAAAACCAGCAGTACAATCTTAGTGTAGCATTTTCTCAAAAGGATGTGATAAGTACTAGAAGAAAAAATAATTTATTTTATAGAACTGTCACATAATTTTGGAGCACTGGTAGCACAGTAGTTAACCACTTGGTTGCTCACTGAATGGTTAGTGGTTCGAATGCACCATTCCACATAAGATATGGTATTCTGCTTCTATAAATATCAGTCTTGGAAACCTTATGGGGCAGTTCTACTCTATCTTATACAGTCACTATGAGTTGAAAGGAGCTCTGGTAGCATAGTGCCTAAGGCACTTGACTGCTAACAAGAAGGCTGGCGGTTCAAACCCACCAGCCACTCCTTGGAAGGAAGGATGGGCAATCTACTTCCATAGTGACAACATCACCTCAGAAACCCAAGGAGGGGTCGCCATGAGTCAGGTCCAACTCGACAGCACATAACAACAACAACATGAGTTGAAAGTGACTTGACAGCAATGTGTTTTGTTTTTTGGTTTGGTCTCATGTATTAGCACTAAAAGCAAGTTTAAAAAAAAAAAGGAAAGAAAAGGCTAGTAGCAAGGCCCAGTCATTCATCTGACAACCCCCAGAAATGTCCTCTTGGAGAAGTGGAGATGGGGAGCAGAAATGCTTCCAGCTGAGAACTACCAAGGGTATGGCATGAAATGGTGATGACTGTCAGACAGACAACACACTGCCCTCTAAAAGGTCTACTACTCACCTCCAGTGAACTGTCTCCCTACCAGAATGCAGGGTCAGTGTTATCATACCTGTTTCTGAAAGAGTCAGTAACACTTATTTTATGTAAAATTCCTAAAATATTCAAATATTTTCAACTTATTCAAAATTATGTGGAACAATTTGAGGTCAAGATTTTTCAACAAGCCAAACAAAATATGTGAATAGGAAGAATTCATCCTATTAGCAGCCAATATGTTGCCTCACCTTAAAGATTAAAATCTCTGTATCAGGGAGAGTCTCTTCAATTCTCAAATACTGAAGAACACCTTCCATTTATAATCATATTATTAGAACCCATAAATAGGTATTAGATTACCATACAGAAATGCACAGCGGATAAGAACAATTTAAAATAAGGTGAAGCAAAGGCATAGAATATCCTAACACAAACAACAACAGCATTTAACTGACAGTTATAGAGTACTATACCTAACAGCATAATACACATTTTTCTCAAGTACCCATAGAACATTCACCAAGACAGATCACATCCGAGGCCATAAAACAAAGCTCAACAAATTTTAAAGAATTTAAATCACAGAGTATGTTCTCTGAACATACTGGAACCAAACCAGAAAATGTTAACAGAAAGACAAAGGTAAAATCTCTGAACACTTGGAAATTAAGCAATACTTCTAAACAGCCCACGAGTCATTAAAGAAATCTGGAAAGAAACTATTAAAAAACATATAGAACGAAATAAAAATAAAAATTAAAATGCTGGGAGTTCTGGCAAGATGGTGGAATAGGCATGCAAGATACACAGCTTCTGCAACAAAGCAATGAGAAACCAACTGAACCCAAAACAGAAGATGATCCTGGAATCCTGAGCTTTGAAAGGAAGGATAAAGAAGTAGATTAAATAACAATGACTAGAAAAACTTGAATGGAACAGTGAGTAAGGAGACAAATGGAGGGGCAGACTACCAGCTGTCCTGAGGGCACAGCCATTTTGAATATTTCCCAGTAGCAACCTAAGAATCAGCTCTGCTCACCAAAGGCTGCATGGGCAAGGACTGCATTGGTGCCTG